GATGGCCTGCCTGCCTCACCCTGTCCTGAGGATGCAACCTTACAGGCAGGGGATCTCCCTCAGTCTTAAATCTCAATAGAAGAGGTAAGAGCCTCAGGTACATTATTTTTTAAACCCTTGGATCGATGCCTGCCCTTAGCTCTCTTAACTCTTTCTTGCCAACAAAACTTGCAAGGCTACCAGCTAATTCCAAATTTCTGGTGATGCTGATGCCCCACGAATAGCTCTTAATTACTTCCTTCTTACTTGCTGATGTTTTTAGGGAACCTCACTTACTCAGTGAGTGAATGAAGCCAAAGGTCATCTTAGATGGCCACTGCTGATTCTGCAACGGACCTACTGAAAAGCTCACAGGCGCTCCTTCCCCCAGCACAGGGCACCCACTGGTGACCGGTCTGGTGTTGACCTGAGTGTGGATGCCAGCTCGGTACCCGCTCTGCAGGACCTGCTTGGGCAGGTGCTGGGGCCCTGTTCAGCCCTGGTCCCAGAGCTGCTCCCAAGGGTGGTGGCATTCCTACTATCACAGCTCCTGTGAGTTGCAAGTAAAAGCTCCATGCAAGACTCCTGTCTTCAGCAAATGGAACGCACACAGCACAAAATAAAGATAATTATTCAAATACCAAACACAGTGTCTAATTCCTTAGCACCTGGGTAAAAGCTAAGGCGACAAATGCTACACTTTTGAACAGAAATCATTCTTTGGATTTGCAGAGGAACATACCAATGCTATTGACAATCTCTCGGAGTTATGAAGGCTATGTCTTTTTTATATTAAAAAAAAAAACCCTAAAGTTCCCAGAATACAAGTGTGTACATATTAGTTATCTAATTGACGGAGCCCGCTGTCACTTGTCGAACAGCACCTGAATGGGGGAGTGAGGATGAAGAAAAAGAAAGACACAGAGATAGAGTGGGGAGCCTCCCAGAGACCGAGCGCCCGAGTTTTTCTCCTCTCTTTTATACAACAGGTGAGTTTGGTTGTTCATCATGACCTTTATCCAGAGACACCTGCTTCCTTGTTTTCTAGTTCTTTGGGAATTCCCCACCCTCATGGGCTTCCTTGTTTCTCGGGGTTACAGAACGTTCATCACGTTCCAGGGCAATCTACTTCGGCAAGGACGCGGTTCCTCCTAACATAGTCTCCTTGCTCTATACAATGGAGGGTAAGATTCAACATGGAGCCTCTTTGGCTAACACCGCTCTCCACACACCGCTCTCCATATCTAATAGATATGTTATAAGCATTATAGTCATGCACAGAAGAAACAAATCATGTTCTATTGTTACAGTTGCATCCAAACAGGAAAACCAAATAAACTTTTTGAGTAAGTTTACAGAATAATTCAGCTCTTTCAATATCATAGCTAAGAGACTCTTCTAATAAAAAATGGTATCTTCTCATCATTTAATATGAAGCTACCAGGAAAGTGCACAAAATTTGTCATTTCTTTCTGGAGCACAAATTGCTTATTGGTTGTAATCAACCATGATTACAGACTTTAATTATTAGCTGCTTATTTGCAGTTTAAGCTTGCTAGATTCCCGCAGTGCTTCCAGAAAATCCTAATTCCCATCTAGTACCCAAAGCTGCTGAAGTGATGCATGTTAAAGAGCCTTGACTCTCACAGTGCTGCTCAGAAGCGCTGTCTACATTCCGCACCGCTGCCAACCCTAAATGACGAGTCACTGCCATTTTACACATTTTGCTCCTGCTTTCCTTGAAGGCCTGATGAAAGGAGAAAGGATCTTCCAAAAGTTTAGCATTTAGACAGAAATACAATAAGCCCCCTTGCCTGGAACTATATTTTTGTCAGTATGTTTACATTTTTAAAAATATAAGAGCTATAATATTTCAGATATTGTTGAAATCTCCTCTCCTCACATTACCATTCTCAAATCCTTTCCTCCCTCCCTACAGTGGTATATATTTTCCTATTAATTTCTTTACCTTTTACATACAAAGAGTGATTAAAATATATGATAAACGCTTAAATTTTTAAAAATGTATGACAGTAAAAGACACGTTGTCACTAATCCCCTCAAAATCCTCTTCCTTGCTTCAAATATACTTATTCCATCATTCTTGCCGCTTTCTGCATCATTTCTGCAAGTCCCCTCTCTTGAGTGTCTTTACAAGGTGTAATCAAAACTACAAATGCTGCTGCTGTCCAACCAAAAAGGCAGCTTGTAAGCACATTAGGGTGTCTCATCCACCTTATTCACTGGATCTGCCACTGTGCAGCGTCTGGCTCTTCCCCAAAGTCAAGATGACCGTGAGAGGGAACCAATTTGGAGCCAATTCAGGACATGAAACAGCCAGAACAGCAAAACTAAAAACACTTATGATAGACAACGTCCAGATCTGCTTCAGAAAGCAGCCGGTGCACTGGGATGAGTGCGTCTGAAGTGGGGATCTCCAGGGGGCTCGTGGTGACCTGTCCTCCACTCTTCACTGTAACATGGACCAGTAGGGCTGCCTCCAGAGCTGGGATCTTCCAAGGAGGACAGTCTCAACGTTGTAAGATCTTAATAAAACATAAGGCTTTGGAAACTACCCTTTGATTCTTTTTTTTTTGGTACCGGGGATGGAACCCGGGTCCTTGGCTTTGATTCTTTTGATTTGTGTACTCTAATTCTTTGCACTGTGGTCAGAGAGTGTAATCCACATGGTATCCATTGTTTGGAATTTGTAGGGCTTTTTGTAATCGTTATATGATGGTTTTATAAACACGTATTCTTGAAAAGTGTTAGATCCAGCGTGTTGATTATTTTGTTCAAATCCCACTGTTTCATTATCAGCCTGCTTCATGAGTTTTTGAGAGAAATGTCTTAAAATCACTTACCATAACTATAGATTTATGAATTTGTCCTCAATACTATCTTGATTCTTTCATTATTTCAAGGATACATTGATAAATGCATAAATACTTCAGTGTGGTATATTTCTGGTTTGCCAGCATTTATCATTATCCAATTTCTCTTTAAAATCTGTTGTCTGAGCAATATTTCATCTCATATTAAGTGCTAAATCTCCATTTTTTTTTTTTAACTTCCTAGAACATCTTCACTCAGAACCCTTTGTAACTAAACTTACTATCTGTGTGATTTGGGAATATCTTTTCAGAAGAGTATGTAACTGAATGTTTTTAATGATAATCTTTAATAATAATCTTTAATAATAACAATCTTTAATAATAATAATCTTTAAAAATAATCTTGTAATAAGTCATCTTAATTTCTTTTTTTTTCTTAATTTCATTTTATAATTAGAGGAATCACCTTCAATCTTTTAATAACATGGAATTTAACTTTACATTTGAGTTAAAATGTGTGGGTTTAGTCTATTTCTTTTCTTATCCTAACGCTAAGGAGGACCTAAAATTCTTTTTCTCTGGAATCTTCCATCTTCCTCGTCACCGTCCAATATTTATAGTTCTACTTTGTTCGAAGCACAAAACCCTAGCAATTCCTTTAATGGGTTAAAGAACAGATCTCTCTGTTCACAGCGCCTTGTCTACCTCCAGAAATCAGCCTCACCAAACTGGGCCGCTTCCTCCATCCATCCCGTCCCGAGCGGCTCTCGGGGCGAGCTCCCCCGCTAGTGTCCCTGAGCTGTGACTGGAGGGCCGGGGGCCCCCACGCCGGATACGCTGCTGTCACCTCGTGCAAACCACAGGGCAGTCAGAAGGCGCGAGCTGAAACCGCACGGATGATCTCAGGAAGCAACTGAGGAATTGTCATTGCTATTTAACAAATTTTGTTGACACATTAAAATTGGCAGGTACCGTATTTTTTCCTGAGGTCTGGAGAACAGGAAAACTCAGAGCCGGAGGGAAACTGTCATCAAGAAACTCGGGCCCAGGACAAAGGACACTGTGTGCCCTCGGACGGCAGAGTCTCGGCCATCGGACAGGCGGACAGAAGCGGGTACTGGTCTCGGTGTCTCGAGTGAGGAATGTACTGGGACCCAGTGCTCGGCAGAGTCTCCCGGATGAAGAATCGGCCCCACAGGCGAGGGCCTGCCCTGAGGCCCCGTCGCAGGCTCTGCGGGTCACTCGGGACCAGCCAGATCGTTTCCGCGGGACTGTGTCGTGGATGCCGCCCGGTGCGCCCGTCACAGCTGCCACCCACACTCAGGGCCATGCCGGGCACCGAGAGCACGGGGGTCTCCTTCCTGGGGACGAGGGTGCTCAGGGAGTGTCCAGGCTTCCTCTGAAGGACGCGCCACCTAATTCCAGCCCCAAGTCCCGTCGCTTCCGCAGACTCCTCCTCTCCTTTCCGGGGGCCCACTTGGGGGTCTCAGCTTTGTCCTGTGTTGCCGCCTCGCACCACCAGGTGGCAGCGGTGGCACGGGCTCCGCAGTCGAGGCCCAGGGCGTGCGGCGCCGCGAGGCCGCGGGGCGAAGCGAGGCTTTCTGAGGCGGGAGGCGGGAGTACCCCGAGGGGCCAGCACTGTCCACAGCCACGGCTCTCGTTTCCTGCAGCAGGCAGCCGGCCTTGCGCGGAGACTTCTGCTCCCTGGGGCCTCTCAGGCTGGCCATCGAAGAACACGCAATAGTGCTGAAAACAGGGATCGCGCAGACCTGACGGACGGTGGCGGGCACCGGTGAGGCGGGTCACCCGTTCACCTGCCCCGTGTCTGGGACTTGGGTTTGCTGGCCCTGCGCTCACCCCTGAGCGATGTCACCAAAGAGGGGGGCATCTCCAGTGGTAAAACTCCACCTGGATAAACTGCTCCAGGGAGAGGAAAACGGTCCTCGGTCCTCGCAGGAGAAAGTGCTGTACTGTGCCGAAGGAGCTGAGGCCGGGCTGAGGCGCTGAG